ATGCTGAGCATCTAGCCCCAGTTCAGCACAACCACAGACCGTGTCCTTCAAAGGAAGAAGCATGATCTCAGGGTGTTCCTACCTATTCTCAACTGCCCAACAGGGCAGTTTTCTGAAACAGGCTACAAATAGTCCTGTTGAAGTCAGGGCTACTCATGCACACAACCAAGCATGCGCTTAAGTACCAGTTCAAAATTTTGCAGGTTCAAATCCCCTGTCTGTCAAGACAAGTTTCTGGTTCTCCATTTTCTGTTTCCTAGCCTTATTCCCTTAGAGCTATCTCTTGAAGACGTAGCCTTTGGCTCATCAGGAATATTATGCTATAGCTTGGGAAGACTGATTTCATAATATCTCAGCATTCCCAACAGGTGTCTAGCCTAGCCTTAAATATCTTAAAAAATTTACAACTACTTTCAGCAGCTTCTTCCGCTGCTTAGCTCTCCTTACAGATAATAAAACAGAATCAAACAATAATTTTTCGTTCTGGAAAAATCCTGTGGCAGTGAATGGAAATGATGAATTCTACAAGCAGAGTAGAAATCTAATAATGAAATGTACTTTTGCTGTGGAATTCTATGGCACAGTTAAAACCTTAGAAAGCTGTCATTTTTTTATATCCCCTGTGTTTTCAGATTAATTTCTAAAGAATCATGTTAAAATGGATGCCCCTAATCATACGGGACTTCCTGAGGGGAAAAAAATAAGGCTTAAGTTCAACAAATCACTGCTGTATGCATTCAACTTGAAACTTTTATTCCCGTTCAACAGAAACCATCAGTGCTTTTATCTTCATACACCTTGTTCCTACTAACATCACTGGGATCTGAGCTCATACCTAAGTACTCGGCACAACTGAAGCCTATGTTTTTTCCTCTCATTCATTGCCTTTATCAATGGTATAAATTATACCACAGGTATCAGGCTATCCATCAGTGTCTGACTATACTTACACAGAGGAGGAGCAGTTGTGCAGGTTGTACATGACTTCCTTGCAGCAATGCTGCTGTTAAAGAGATCTTCCCCTGCCTTTTAGAAACCTAACACTTTTTTTGCTTTTCTTTGTATTGACAGATTTTCAGCACAAGTAATGGAGCTTCTTATCAAGATTGTCAGCATCACAAACTCTGGAGCTGCAGCACTGCAGTATCAGAGCCTACAGGGCTGGGGTGAGTAATTGCTCCCAGATTCTTCTGCAAGTCACTGAGAGATTTCAAATCCCCTTCTCTGACACCTGTGCAACTCCATTTGATGTCTACGAATAGTGCTAAGAGGACAACACACTCTGAGCGTTAATACAGCACGATAAAACCTGTCTTCTAGAGCCACCAGTTAGTGTATCGCACTGTTGCATTCCTATTAGCAACAGCAAAGAGAAAAAAAAGAGGGAGCAGAGCAGCACTGCTATCTACCACTCCAAGACACTCTTTTGTAACAAGACTTGCTGAGTAAGAGCCAAGGCTGTAGGAATCTAAGCCGTCATTTTAGATCTCCTACCATGTGGCAGACCCGGAATATTCATTACCTATTAAAAGCTTTGAAAGTGTAAATTTATCCCACAATCAAGCAAACTGATTTATTCACACAGCCGAGTCACACGCATTTACAGCCTGTGACCTAAATCTATTAATCC